CGTCACTGATCTGGTATTGAGCAATGATCTACATCAGATATGATATGTCTGGTATTCAAATACCTCCTTCTCATACTCCTGTTTTTAATAAAAATGAGTTTATCGAGCATGACAATGAGGTGACATTAAGGTTTATTTTCTATTCATGCTTCATGTGAATCAGATACATTTAAGAGCTGCAATGTAGGCCTATTACACAACTGAAAGAAATGGGTACTCTTATTCCATCTCTTATTCCATCTCCCCCCCCCCCCCCACGCCCAATACCATGTAAAAACCACCATCTCAGTCATTGACTTTTTTTTTATTTCTCACTCCATCTGTCTTATATACATGCCAGACCCATCCCCTTTTTCCTCCAAATTATATGAAGGTGGATGATTTTATCCCTCCCCCCCCCCCCCTCATTGAATAGATGTCAGAGATTTGTTTACTCCTCTTAAATGTCCTACTCTCTTTGCACTGTACATAACAAACAATTAACTGTTCATCCCTATATCAATCTATTAATCGTCCTATCTGTTCATCCACACATTCATCTGTCAATCCCTATACTTTTCAAATGCTCCATTCTTGATTATATCCACCTGTACATTCATCTGCCCATCCATCCATCTCTTCCTACATTCACCCATCTGCCTATCTATCTATCCAGCTCCTCGTTCATTCACCCATCCATCCATCTACCTATCCACCAAACCATCCATCTCTTCGTTCATTCTTCTATCCATCCATCCATCTGCCTATCCACTAATCTATCCATCTCTTCATCCATTCACATATCCATCCATCCATCTGCCTATATATCTATCTAAATCTTTGTTCATTCACCTATCCACCCATCTGCCTATCTCCATCCGCCCATCCATCCTTCCTTTATTCCTTCACCCATCTATTCACCAGCCTCTCCTTCTATTAATCTATCTGTATGTTCATCATCCACCCACCACCAATCTCTTTGACCCCTCAGCTAAGTAGTCTACCAGTCTACTGTCTGCCTATATATGGTCGTGGGCCTCCCAGGGATGTCACTCTGTATAATTACTCCCAGTGACTGGGGTAATAAGTCTAGCTTGCATTGCTTGCATCCCAACCTAATGAAAATGAATGTACTATGTAATCAGTCATGGTGGCTGGGACAGGAGTCTAATCAGTAATGTCAGAAACCCATCTAGACGACCGTAGGCTGAAGACAGTTAATCATTATGGAATTTACTTCGATAAAATTGCAATATCAAAGGCGCTAAAATGTTATAAACACATAAGGTCAAATGAATTTCTTCCTAGTTTCACACCTCCTACCAATTTTGTGTGGTCTACTCTTCTTTCTTTTCCCAATATTTTTGTTTGGACATGGATTGATTTAGAAGAAGGCAAGGCAAAGAATAGTGAAATCCTGAATATATTGCTATTTCACCTTGTCTTGTGCCTGTGTACTGCACAGAAAATTGTGTTAAAAATCAAGACCCCATAAAATGTATATGTGTTGGAAAAATATCAGATCAGATAACACAGAAGACCCTCCTTCTCATTTTTGTGAGACAAATGTGGGTGAGAAAAAGATAAATTTTACTGGGCCATATGACAGTGGGATTATATGCAAGGTTATAATATTGTATAAAGTTGCTGGTGAGGAAGTCTAGTAGACATTGTTGGCATGGTATTGGAGTGAGAGCTAGGATGATGGGAATGATTGGGTCAGGAGAAGGATGAACCGGTGTCAGATGAAATCAATTCAGTGAAAGAAATCAGGAGGACACCATACCAGTACCTGTTCACTCATACAAGCTGAATTCTAAATTATATGCGATATTGATAGTAAGCAAATATTAATCGACTACGAGGGTAATGGAACAAACTATCATCGCCGAGGTGATCTCGGGGCTACTCTCATCCCGAGCCGCAATTAAAAGAACTGATTCTGCATACAGTTTAGCTTCAGCTAGATTTTACAAAGCACAACATGCATACATGTAATAAAGTCGATGCGCGCTCATTTGACATTGGCATTGACTTAGACATTTTGTGTAACCTACTTTGCTATGCGCTATATGCTAATTCAATTGGGGCAGCAGCAAAAAATTATGGTACAAAAGTCCTATCGCAGGGAGATAGTACTTATCTATCATTGATCATGTGACCTCGTTTAGACCAATCAGATTGCAAGATTCTTAGTATGCAGGATATAATATAAGATAGTAAAAAATTCTATCATTGATGTCTTTTGGGGAGGAATGGGCTCGGAGATAGAGCAGTGGTCTCATTGTCAGGAGATCTCATGGTTCAAAACCGAGTTGATGCGCTAGTGCCCTGTGATAAGGCATTAATACTGATAAGGCTTCCCTTGATAAACAAGACGTATCATTATTGTTATCATTATTATTATTATTATTATTATTATTATTATTATTACGTAATCAAAGCATTTCAGAGCTATATCTACCAGAAATATGAGCCGCTCTATGAAACACTGTGAGCAACCATCTTGTAAGAAGTGGAGAATTGATCTGTCAACATCAATTATAGGATGTGTATATTTAGCAGGAGGTCTTTCAAACTATCATGTATCAAACAGATGCATATCATCTAAATAAATATTAATACCAGATCATAAATGAAAGGTGAGAAGTTCGGGAACAGTCACAAGTGTCTCAAATTTATATCCGTTTTTACCCTTATGAATTCTTTAGTTGATTGTAATATGAGAGACTGAGGAGTGTGGTTGAAAGAAGCCCCATTCCTATGCAGCCAGTGACGGATCAAGTAAACTTTCTATTTTAATTTCATGTCAGCTCATTAGTTGTCTGCCTGCACAGTTCTCCTTCTATATGCTGTAGGATAAGTTACGATGGAGATATGCAAACTTGTGCCTGTTTTAATAGTAATGATGTCATATGTCAATGATCTCTTTCATGACCAAGGCAACAAACGAACTCTGGGAGGGTGTAGAAGGGATGGGGGCTCAAATTATTCCTCCAAGCCCCTCTCTAGCCCCCATTTACCACTGTGTAATGTCAATAGGGTGTATAGGGGAGGGGCGGTTCTAGGGTATTGCATCCTCCCTCCCTCCATCCCTCCCACCACTCTCTCTTTATGATTGCTGTGGTATTTGGAGTGTTGGAGGGGAAGGGGGCTGGATTATCTTCCCAACTCCTCTGGATGATAGCACGTTGGTATGTAGCTGGCCTTTACTTCATGACATGTTTTGCTCACGTCTGTTGTCAAAGTAATTAGTGAGAGCGGGAGAGATCCTTGATGACTAGTTGGATGTAGATTGGCTTTCGCTGACACTGGCACCCCTCATTCACTAGCCCAACTGGCTTCTTTTGGTGCATCCCCTCTCATTAATTATCCCTTATTGGCTTTTTCTTTTTGTAATCTCGGCTTCTATTGAAGTTAATAAATGAGGGGTGATAAATTGCATGTTTCTATTGAGTGATCTAGTTTATTAACTTTTTTAATGATCAACAACTTTAATTTTCATGATTGTAAAATTGTGGGTAAAGGAGAATGATAACAGATCCCTTTTGCAGCCAATTAACATTGAATTCTTTAGAACTATCGGTAGGAATTATGAATATGTCACGTTTGTCCTATCTGTGAAAGTTAAACGTTGTCAGTGTCCTAGTATTTAAATTATGCAAGGAAACCCATTTACTTTCTAGACTTCACTGTCAGACACTATTGAGTCACTGACTGACTTCTTTTTTTCTTTGTTAATAACATACATGAAATGAGCTGTAAAGGGTGAGCGTTTGTATACATCAATAACCCACTTCTTTTATGGTCAAAATTAAAACTGATCGAAACTTTACGCAGCACAGAACGTACAACCATACGGTACAAGGGTCTGAAAATCAGACTATTTTCTATGCATAATTTTCTAAATGCGTTGCAAAAATTCATAACGGTTTATATTTAATTCCATATGAAGGCAATTACCAGTTTCAATCTTTTCTGGGGAGTTTTTAGTTGGTATTATCTCTTGTTTACCATAGGATTCACACAAGTTTATATTTTCAGCCTACAAAAGGGACACACCACCTTTAAGATTAGTTTGTCATCTTGTTTCTTGACACACATGAATGTGCAGTATTGGTATACACGCTGGGGCAATGTTATAAGCTAACAGACATACATTTCTTTGATTGGGGTTTAATGAATGTGCGGGATTTGAAGAGAAGCTCGCTAGATTCCTGACATTCATACCATACCTTCATGAATCGTAACGCAACTTGAATCTATCTCAACATACCATTGTGTGTGGGTGTATGTTTTAACTGATCAAGTTTTTACAACTGTTATTCATGTTACTCTAAGGACTGTTTGTTAATACAGACAGTGCAAAGACACTATATTTATTTCAAATAAACCATTGTCTATTCTCTCTTCTCCCACACCATTCAAACTTTTATCCAGGAACAAAATTATGTCCTATGCTGAGTTGAATAATGGATGTAATATGATGTACAATAGCATAACGCTTGTAGTGCTGCTAATGTTGATGTTCATCATAATGGCAGTAAATATAAGTGGAAATATGAGTGGAAATGATGTTGATGATAATGCTGATGGCAGTGATGATGTTTATATTGATGATATTGATGTTCTTGTAGTTGTGGATGATGATGATGATGATGATGATGATGATGATGACATAATAGTGTCTGATTTGAACTTGAAATGTTTTAATGGTTTGTTTATCAGTGATTCATTGTCATTGAATGTTGATGAAAGAGTTCAAGCACTCATTACATACATAATTCATCATCAATTATGCATGTTGATTACAATTAATCATATATTTTTTACACTTGAATTTTTTTTTTTACCACAGTAGTATAAATAAAGTAAGGAACCACTAAGCTGCAAGGTTTAGTAATTTCTCTCATAGTGGATTAAACATCAAGTGTGCACATGCATGAGCACCAATCTTTATATCAATACCAGACTGATCTTCATTTAATAAATTAATTTCTTCTATTTTGTTTCCATTTCAGCTGATTTTCACTGGAGAGTACGTGAGAGCCATGGATGAAAACTTCCACAGCGGTCACTTCTGCTGCCAGCAGTGTGACAAAGCTTTGAGTGGACAGAGTTACATCTTAAAAGAAGAGAAACCGTTCTGTGTGGCTTGCTATGATGATAACTTTGCTAATGAATGCGCTGAGTGTAACCAGAAGATAGGACACGATAGCAAGGTAATATCAAATAAACAGTCATAAAAAAGAAAGAAATTGTAGAGCCATATAACATTTTCCGTCAAAATTATAAATTAAACTAGGACATAATTGTTGTGTGTTTTATTAACAACCACAAGTGTTAAACTTCATAACTTTTCACCCTTTCATTTTCCTCAAAATTTAAGTCGTCTGTTTCTCTCTATCTCGACCTGTCAGCCTTTATTAAAACCACCTATATACCAGAGTTGAAAGTTAGTAGTGGATGATCAATGGAATTGATTTTATTCAACCAAATCTCTGATTATTATGTTGGAACCTTTAAAAATATAAATGCATATATTCTTCATATACCGGTAGTACCTTCTAATTGCACATTTTTTTCAATTTATGAATTTGCTGTTAACAATTGATTGTTGATTTCTTATCTTATGTTTTGATTATAGGATCTTATTTTCAAGTCAAAGCATTACCATGAGACATGCTTTGAAGCCCGCTACACATGTTCTATGTGCAAGGCGTCTCTTGCAGACAAGGCCTTCGGTAACTGGGATGGACAACTCTGCTGCCTCCAATGTTATGAGAAGAACTTGGCCAAGAACTGCCAAGCATGTGGAGAATTAATAAAGCCTGGTAAGAACCGATCTTACATCAATCTTTTTTTTCTTTTACAGATCTCATAGATCATCAAAGGATCTTGGACACACTTTCACAGGACGGTCTCCGCAAGATTGAAAGGAGACTAATATATTGGTGGTCTACAAATCTTTTACCAGTCCTTTGCTAGTTTGCTCATCCTTCACAAATCAATTACCAATTATGTAACAGTCCTTAAAGTAGTCCTCTATCAATCCTTTATTAATCATATTCCCATCCTTGAACAATTTTCTAGCAGTCCCTCAACCTCTAAAAGTCCATTCCTCTACCAATCCTCAATAATTCCTCCACCATTCCTCCACCATTCCTCACCATTCCTCCACCATTCCTCCATCGGTCGTCTATCATTCCTCCACCAGTCGTCTTCCATTCCTCCACCATTCCTCCACCATTCCTCCACCATTCCTCCACCATTCCTCCACCAGTTGTCTACAATTCCTCCACCATTCCTCCACCAGTCGTCTACCATTCCTCCACCATTACTCCACCATTACTCCACCATTCCTCCACCATTCCTCCACCATTCCTCCACCAGTTGTTTACAATTCCTCCACCATTCCTCCACCAGTCCTCTACTATTCCTCCACCATTACTCCACCAATCCTCCACCACTCTTCCACCATCCCTCCACCACTCCCACACTCAATCTCTACCAGTCATTTACCAATCACAATCCCAAGTGTCTTCCCCATATCCTTTGCCAATTACTCTTTAACAAACCTTATACTTTCCCTACACCCATCCTATTTTGTTCTCAACAATATACTGTCCCAGCGGTAGTCTGATATTCAGAACCTCTTTCATCCTTTAATCTTTGAAGACTTCCATGGTGAAGATAGATGTGAGTGGAGCTTGCAGTTACATTATTTATTTGTTGAGAGTGATTTGTGGCTCTGATGTAAGAGGCCACTCATGCCTGGTGTTTCAAGCACACTTATCTTCACGATGAGTATGTTTGATTTGACAAGGGTTTATATACCCTTAGGTTCCTCATCCTCTACCAAAGATATATTGACTATCTGGAATCCGATGAACAGCTATCCTCTGCCAGTAAAATACTATACTAATATATACCAGTATCTTGTTATGAGTGATATTATGTATACTTTGCTCTGGTATGTTAAGATAATTGCAGATGCACAGTCTGATTATAAGTCTCTGTAAAAAATCTTTAAATAGGATGTTCTTACAATGATATGAGAGGGGTAACACGTTCTACCACCAGGTGTAGTCCAGGGCCCCGCCTTATTAAGGAATTGATATTAATCGCAACTATGAACATAAGAGATGGGAGACTGCAAACTTGCAATTGATTGGTGGACTTGTGATTGACCCAAATGAATTGCAACTCCTTATAGGACGGGGCTCAGGTGTCGTAGTCTAGTGGATAAGCCACGTATGATGCACATGATTCATGATTTGAATCCCTGCCACATTTGCCACTCTCAACCCAGGTGTAGTAAATGGGAACCTGGTAGGAAGAAACTTCCTTGAATGCTTCAGTGTGCTATCATGGTATCCAGACTATAATACCAGGGCAATTGCAGGTCCCTGCGGAAGAGCAGTTTTAATACTGACAATGTTAGCCTGCCTGGAGAAGGATATCTTAGTAGTGGTACTATTCACTACATTTCACTAAGGTACCTTATATGTACAGGGGAAAAATCTTTTGTGAAGTTTTAACAATTGAATAGTTTTTCATTATCTTTCATTTCATTATAAGTCTTGCAGGATGAAAATGATAGGACAATTTTTGTGAAGTCAGTTTCAAGTTTGTAAATTAAATTTGAGCAATGTGAAAACTGAGTGATCTTAAATTCCATAATGTATAATTGTACTTCTCTTGTGTCACCATTATCCTCTAGTTAAACAACCCACAAGAGCTCATACAGTTCAATCTTCATTTTCATTGGAATTTGGAACTTCTGTCAGAGATGTTCCAAGTTTAAGCTTTCATGTTTGTTTTTAGTCAGAATCTATCTGTCTTAATGCGATGTAACAATCCCTTCATACATAGAGAATTCTTGGGAGTTATTAAATAAACAAATCAGTTGAAATGTGGATGATGTATTATGATGCAAATGGAAGGTGCAGTGCTCGCATCACAGATGGTATGTCAGTGTGTGTTTAGAGTTCACCAGCATTCTTACGAGATGAGCGAAGGGAGGAAAAAACTTAGTCAGAAATGTGAAGAATTTATAGAATCACACGAAGCCAGACGGCTCCTACCGGTCCTTCCCACAGTCCTCGGGATGACATGTGGTCATGTGACTGTTAGGAAGAGTTGTTGAGATCTTAGCAGGGGATATCCTCCAAACTAAATTGGTTTTAATGTCCTCTCAGGTGATAGCTGAGACCAATAAAATGAAGGTGATGAAGAGAGATAAAGGTATCTTTCGTCTTGTCTCCATACTCTAGGAAGAGTTAGACAGACATATCCCTATATGTCTGTTGGTGATGAGGTAATGGGATTTATTATAAAGAAAACAAAGCCAACGAGATGAATTGCTGGTGGACCAACAGAAAGCTTTTATTGGACCTACATCCACCCACGTCTTCTATGGGTTTCTGTTGGTCCATTAGATATTTTCTTCTATGATGGGTTTCTGTTGGTCCATTAGATATTTTCTATGGGTTCCTGTTGGTCCATTAGAGATCTTTATATGGGTTTCTAATGGTCCCATGTTCTGAATTCCCTATTGAAACCAATAGACCAATGGCTTATATTGGTAAATCAATAATGATAAATCAAAATTCGATTTTAGCAACTGTCCACCAAAAAGGTATATTCTAATCTCAATTGCATTAACTCCATCACAAAGATCACTTGAAGTGAGTTTGAGAATATCCTTTAGTTTACCTGAAGGCTTGTATTATTCTATATAATAAACATACATCTATTGGTCTTATTGGTTTCTATTGGTCCTATTGGTCCTATTGGTTTTTATTGGTCCTATTGGTTTCTATTTCTATTGGTTTCTATGGGTGCTATTGGTTTCTATTGGTTTCTGATGGTTTGAATGGTCTCTATTGGATTCAATTCTATGGGTCCAACAGAACCCGATAGACTCCAACAGAAACCATTAGAGACCAATAGAATTTTTCTAATGGTTTCTATTGGTCTCTCTGGGATTTTCGACCTGGGTACCATTTCACAAAATGAAATTGTGTTTTTAGCAATTAAGTTTCGTCATTCTGTCCTTGTTTGCACCCCAAAGTTTGTCTGTTTGTCACTGAAATGTCATGAAATGTTCTTTCTGATTGTATTAACCAGGTAACAGCTTCAAAAACAACTTTCAGTCCCGCTTCAATTGTTGTTGTTGTTAATAAAAGAGTTTCTGATAGCTTTCACTTCAGAGCAGTGATATGACATATGACATTCTTTTATAATCAATGAAATATAATGTTTGTTGCAAATAATTCTTAACAGTAGCTGACATAACCATACACATACACCTATTTACAATGTTATTGTAATGCACCCACTGCCATTAATGTAACAGTGATGTTGATGTTATATGTTTGTGTGAACTTGATCATGTGTCATTCTGTCCGTATAGGTTCAGCAGGGGAAGGTAAAACTTTTCTCTCTCATTTTTTTTTTTTTTTTTTTTTTGAATTGCCCTTTTGCAAAACTCATAGGCAAGCACTAACGACTGTGTGTGTGGTTTATCTTTTTTTCTGTTATTTTGTTTTATTTCATATTTGACTTTACCGATGTATATTATCAATATATCCTACCCAGTGTAGATATATCTTGTTATAGATAGACCCCCTTTCCAGGAATGAAGATGGTTCCCATAGGACGCATTTCTGTCTTTAAATGGCAATATTACTACTAATATACTTCAAAAAGAAATAATGATTCAAATAAAAATCACAAAGTTTGTTCTTCCACAATTGTTCAGTTTTTTTTTAATTGAAATCTATTGGAGGAGACAGATGATTGTTTGAGGTTTAATATTCACCCAAAATTGTATTTTCCGAAAATTAAAAGAAAAAATGTAGGCTGCAGCAAACATCTTGAAAGTAAAACAACAAACAATGAACTCAGATTTGGGATGGAAATTACTTTAATCATGCTGTAAGTTTTTGATACAGGAGGAAAACGTTAATTCTCATCTTCTTCCTAGACCATTGCACTTTCCCCAAATTATGTTAAAGTTTGGAATAACTGAGGATATATATTTATCCTCATTTTGAAACAAAGCAGTTGCTAGGAGGAACTTAGATGTTAGAAAGCAATTCTGTCCTAATAGACAGCAAGTATCCCATTCTCATAATTTAGATTATTTGGTTGTTGGAATGTTACCACCTTCCTATTTTTTACAACCGATCTATTATGATTACAATAATCTGCAGTGTAAAGTTAGCATGTAATTAGTCTAATTATTTCCCCCATTATCTCGTGAATTATTTACTTAAAAGGAACCCATAGAAGGTGTTTTTAGGCATGATAATTCCTCATTTAGTTTGTTGTTTAGTGTGTTAAAACTCACACCTTACAAGTGTTCCAGTTATGAAACATTAAGAAGATTTGTCATGATACATACCATACTTTACCATTTCAATCCTTAACACTCTTCAATCTCAAATTTCAGTCCAACATATCACTCAAAATGCATCGTTAATCTTCAATTTTTCAATTTCACACTGGTATGAAAATTCATTTCAATTTACTCCACTTTAAACATTATCTCATGAAGTAAGTGCTCATAAAACTCCATCATTTATGAAATACAACAAATTTATTTTGATGAAGATGTTGTTCCCTTCTTTTTGGGGATATGGTAAATTAATTTCTTTTAGAACTTTATTTTGTTTATTTATTAGTTTCCATTATTGATCTCACTCATAGGTTGGATTGTAGCTACTTGCACAATGCACATGCACATTTAACTCCAGTGATTAATCTTTCCATTATATACTATCTCTCTTTATTACTCCCTGTAATGCTGAATATAATATATTTCTTTGTTTCTTTTGATAGAAAAACAACAACCCTTCTTTAGGTCTGTCTTGACAGACCCATGTGTCCCTTTATGATAACTTATGAGTTATGGGTAGTTGTCTCTCTCTGGCTCTATATCTTTTACCTCTTTCTACCCCCCCTCTCTCTCTCTCTCTCTCTCTCTCTCCCTCCTCCCTCCTTCCTCTCTCTCTCTCTCTCTCTCTCTCTCTCTCTCTCTCTCTCTCTCCCTCCCTCCCTCTTTGTCTTTGTCTTTCTCTCCTTTTCTCTACCTCAAAAAGTTTGCTTTTTACACTGTTCTATTATACTGAAGTACTGAGAAAACTATTGATGTTTTAGCTATAAAGGTTTAGAAAGTTGTTGAGGACTTAAAAAGGATTGATTACTGTTAAATGTATCATGAATATGTTTTCATTATTTCATTTGTGAAATTTTTAATCGACTAGTTTCTAAAAACAATCACTTTGCTTTTAAAATAAACACAAAATCATATAGGCATTCAAATTTCTTCTTTTTTTTTTTTAATGAGAGGATATTGTGGGAATTAAAAATGCTGAAAGTTGATTAATTATAGGTAAACAAAGCACAACATTGACATAGAAATAGCTGTTTATTGTAATCTGCCCTCTGTTTATGATAATTCTATTGTTATTTTCAGCTATAATGAGTATTCCACAGATTTCCACTATTTTGAAAAATCACTAATAGTTTTATGTATGATCCTGTATGCTGTAACCAGATTTGTAGTAATGACAACAGTTACAGTGTATTAAAAAACAGTTGAATACTGTTACAGTATCACTTTGTTAAAATAAGCTATTGTTTTTCTCTAAACGTGTATTGTAAGCAAATTAAACTTTAGGATGCAACCAGGGATGCCAAATCTTGTTCACCTCCAGTTTGTTTGATAATTTACTTAGCAATGAATTTTTTTTAAATCCCACTGTTTAAATATTGCATTTTTATCTCTCTGTGAACTAAGTTTTAGACAAAGAAAAACAAGCAAAAGGAACAGGAGAAAAAGGATTGCTATTTTTTTTTACACTGTAAATGGTTTAATAACTGGAAAGTACAAGCACCAATTCTAGTCTGATCTCATCTGTGGAAAATGCTGAATAAATGATGTTAATACTCTTATTTGGATGACAATTTAAACTTTCAAGTAAAGAGAATAAAAGACAGACTAGCAATCTACTTCGTTCTAATGTTCTTTTGCGAGACATAAATCTACATTTGCCACACTTGACCCAGATGTAGTAAGTGGGTACCTGGTAGGAATTTATTCCTTGAATGGTTTTAGTGCCTTAGGGCAACCGGGCTAAAGCCAGGGTAATGATACTACTTCGTAGGGGCCTTGAGCAATATGAATTTTACTATTATTTTTATTATTTCTTAATTTTTTTCCACATTTCATTGGATATGCTCAATTCACAATTATTTGAGATTCATTTTGAAATCATTCAGGATCCAATATAATTCATGAATATGAATAAGAATTATATAAACTGAGTCACCCATATTCTCTCATTACATGCAAGCACTTCACATCAGACTGATTCTTACTCACTCAGTGAAATAAGTGAATGAAATACAGTCACGTACCTAACTTTCATGTCATACGCAGACAAAAAAAGAAAAGAAAAAGGAAAGTATTTGTGATTTGGTTGTTCATTTAATCATATCATCCCATCATGGATTTGGTTGAACGGTATGAGATAACATTCAAATCTCTCAGATCAACTTTCAGTTTTCATTGGATTTCAGTTCTATTATTTTATCTCTCCAAGACCATGGCAGTTTAAAGGATGAAATGTAATCATGTTTTTATGGGAGTGTACTCTTGTTACATTAGGAAAACTAAGTGAAGTTAGTTCTGCTTTGAGATTTCCCATTAAAGTAACAAGTAGCATTTTGCAGTATGACCCCCACAGCCCCACACCCACACAGCCCCTCCATTCTCCCCCACCCTATGATTTGTTCATAAAATAACATGATTTATTTTAAATGTCCTTATAATTGGTAACAGTTATATCTTGATTGTTTGTGATTGCTTCAACACAATGGTAAAACTGTAACAGGGAACTTAATCTATTTTCTTAAATATATGGTAGTAATTTGCACTATATGAAAAACTCTTCAACTATGAGGAGCTTTGCAGGGATATTCAAAACATCTTTATCTCTAGTTGGTACTCTCTGAATACTTATGATTTTTTTCCCCTTTGATTATCTCCGACTAGGAATGAAACGTCTTGGATTCCAGGGTAAGGAATGGCACGACAAGTGCTTCAGATGCAAGGTTTGCGACAAGCATATCGGAGGGGGCAGCTTCGTACCCAAGGAGGACAACATTTACTGCAGTACGTGTTACGAGGAGACCTTTGGTACCAAATGTGCTGGTTGCGGCAAGGTGAGGGCGCTATTTATCTTTCTTCACAGTCTCCTTTGCCCTCTGTTAGGATGCCCATTGCTGGTTTATATTTTATAGTAGATGTCAGCTGATCAGGAATAGAAATTAAATCAATCAAGATATCTAGAAGAATTAATTTTTATACATGGAATCAATCAGTTGGCCATGTATGATTTTGAAGCAAGTGCCATGAGTCCCTCCTTAGTTGGTGGATACTGGTATTTATTAAAGATGATTATAAAGAGAGAGGGAAAGGAGAATGCAGAACAACTAAGGATAATTAATTTTTCAAGATGGTTGGATGTAATTACATGAAATAAGTAAATATGTGAATAGTTATTTTTTGAAAAGGTTGTAGTTATAATAATAGAACAGTTTTTATAGAGTGCATTATACTTTTGTAAAAGGTCTCAAAGCTTTTGCCACTGTTCAATCAGAAATATACCTAGTATATAGGGATGTCAGCTCATTAGCTACATCTACCATAAGACCTACAAAAAAAAGATGTTGTATTGCCCTTTGCGACCGACCCAAAAGTCTTGAAATGTACGGTCTGCTTTTTTTTTTGAGTTTTTTTTTTTACAGTTTTTTAGGAGAAAAAATGTATTAATCATTAAAAACTGAGAAATATCAGCCCAAAGACGAAATTAAAAGTTTTTAAAAGTTTTTTTTTTTTAAATTCTGACCGACCGACCCATGTTTTGGCACCTTAAGGGCAATACAACATCTATTTTGTTTAGGCCTTGGAGTGATGTATGCTCAGTCTCACGGTTATAACATATGTAACACTCTGCTGATTTGCAAACTGATTATTTATACTTTTATCCATCCTAGCAAAGTCACAATATGAAGTAATTATTTCATGATGTATTGCTTGATTCTATAGATCATCTCTACCGGTGGATTGCAGTATAAGAACGAGCCATGGCATAGAGAATGTTTTGGGTGTGCAGAGTGTGGCAAGTCTCTCTATAACACCCGCTTCACGGTGAGGGATGACAAGAGACTCTGCGCTGACTGCTTTGGAGAGAGGTATGCCAGGAAATGCTCAGAATGCAAGCAACCCATCGTTGGTAAGTTGATACTGCTATTAAATCAGGTTTGGTGTAGAGTTATAGTTTCAGATAAGTTTAAATTTGGGACATGGTATATAAACAATTATGTTCTTTTTAAATCTTTCATATGATAGCAAGTGTGTCACTTGATGATATGATCGTTTTTGGTCCATGGGAATGTGTTTAGCATTCTATTGTAATAAATAGGGCATGTAAAGGGACTCATTTTTTATTTCCTATGATCTGAGATTTAACAAGCCTGTCCAGATGAATGGAGATTGTAGAACTCTATAACCCTGTACACCAGATTAGACTTTCCCCTCTCGTAATGGTGACTTAATAACTTTCACTTGTTTCAAACTTTCAACTAGGATGGGAACAGAATGACAATAGCATTTTTTGCTATGTACTCTTGCATGATATGGGTCAGAGAGTGATAGAGAGAGAGGGGGGAGGGAGAGGGATAATGAGATCGGGGCGTAGAGAGCAAGAGAGGGAGGGAGGAATGAGGAATGGAGAGAAAGAACAAAAAGGAAAGATAGAGAGAAAAAAGAGAGAGAGAGAGAGGGGAGGGAGAGGAATATTAAGGGAGGGGGAAATGGGATATACATATAGCTCAAATAAGAGCTACAGACAAGTAAGCAAGCAAGAATCTGAATATACTTGTACATCCTAAAGACTTGTTTATAACCTGAGTTCTACCACACTTTATATCATCTACTTCAATCAGTGATATGTAAATATACTTCCACTCACTCATTGATCCCTTTTTCTTCATCTTTTTCAGGTCAAGGAGGGACCAAATATGTGTGCTTTGAGCAGAGGAATTGGCACAACAAATGCTTCAACTGCAAAAAGTGTCAAGTCTCTCTTGTGAATGAGTGCTTTGTGACGGAAGGAGAGGAGATCATTTGCCCTAACTGTGCACAAGGCTAGACGAGGAGTACTTCCTGACCCCACCCATCTTAGCCCCCCCCCCTCCCCACCCTCCTCATGCCCCACCCCTAGGCCCCACCCTTATTATGTAGTGTATAGCTCATAGTATCTTCTTGCTAGTTTATCATTTCTGCAATTCCTGTTGTATTCTTTGTACCATATTTCAGAGAAGAATCAAATAGAAATGGATTATCTCTATATGTACCCTTTGGACATTATGATAAGCCCTTATAGAACTCCTTTTTTCTCTCTCAATCCAGATGTTAAATGGGGATTTGGTTGGATTTATTCATTGAATATTCACTGTGCAACGGAAATGGCTGCCAGTGCAACAGTAAGAATAATATCAAAATAAATGCATTTGAACAGACAATAGCTTAGACAATCAAAGTGCATTGTAGCAACATACATCATTGCTCAGCTCGAGAGCCTGATGTGACATTTATGCGTCAGTAGACACCAGAGGAATCCCTACACAGTAGACCTTTGTGCGTGTTAATGATTTTAAAAAACAATATTGGCTGGCTCTACCTACAATGGGCATAGAGAATCTTGACCCTGTCTAAAGCTTGGTATGTACGATACTTAACCTCAAGTCCAGTCATTATTTAAATATTTAAAATATAAACAAATCATCTTGAAAAATATGAGATAAGATGGAAGTAGAAAGTGAAGTAAGAGATGGGTTGGTGGTGATTTACGTTATTGTTGAATTTGACATCTCTTTTCAAACAAGCTCTTGTACGCATGCTTATAATTAATGAAATACATCATTATGATTTGTAGTAAGAATGATAAACTAGCGCAACAAAAAATATATATATTGAAATATTGAAACCATCTATAGTACTACTGAACTTGATATTCTTGTAGTTATTGTTTGAAGTCTCTTATATGTTGGACAAAATGAAAATAATTTAACTTTAGATTTATTTATTTATTATATATTCAATTCAACTTCTGTGGCTGTGTTTGTATAAGAGAAATGAAACATAACCCAGTACACAAAGGCCTTGACAGTACTGTATTGTTAGACTTTTTGTCAAAAAAACAAGTACTTTTAAGTAATGGGTTGTATTTGTAAAAAAAAAAGTAAAATTAATAAAAAATATAAAAATCATGATAATGATAAAGAAAGGTACTTCTAAGGTAGTTTTTATTCAGTACCTAAGTGTATTTTGATTGAAGGATAAGGGAAAAATCGTTTGAAATTTCAACAGATAAAATGGATTTTTATTCAGTTTCAAAGATATATGCAGTAGAGAACAAATCATGTATTCTGAAGTATATAGCTAACAAAATGCAGTGATTTTTGAATGAAGGAAGTGTACATTTGGATTAATTTATGGCTATTGCTTATTAAATGTTGCAATTTAGTTCATAGTATGCTTCAATTTTTATGAATTCTCTTTTTGTTTTGAATGTGAAGTGCAAAATCCTATTGTAGATAATTAGTCTTTTGTATAATAAAATATTTCATTTATTGTTTTTGTCAACTAATAATATTAAATATTGACACACTGCAAAGCAGCATTATTTTGTATGTATAGATGAATGATGACATATGACTTGCATTGAAGGGCAAAGTATAGCACATTATTTAAAGAAATATTAGAATATAATAAGTGTTTCTTTCATAATTTCTTGCCTGAATCTATCATGCTGAGTAACAGATTACAGGCATTTTAGTAAACATATTTTGTCCTTTTTTTTCCCTTCTAATTCTGAATGATTATAGTGAAACTCAATATGTACAGACTTGTTCAACTCTTCAAGACTTTGGTATATCTAATCAGAGTTTTATATAAGTGTCTATTTCACTTTTACATATAAATCAGAGAATTCTTTCCATGAATACAATTGTAAATAAGTTCATTTTATTGTATGGTTTATTAGAAAGTAAGATGACTTAAACCTTTGTATAAGGAAAGGCTATCTGTTCTCACAAATCTGATCTCGGAAGATGACTGTCTTTTGAATCAGTGCTTGACATTAAATTCAGCCTATTGGGTTTATTTACCCTGCACAGTACTTGTTCATTTTATATAGATTTGATATAAACACATACATATAGAGCCTTCCATCATTGACATACATGATTCCTTGTGACGAAAAAAATGTTGCTGCTAGAAATTCATTAAAATAGTAGTCATTAATGCAACAATAATCACGGTACATTGTGGCTCGCTTCAAATCATTGGGTCATCGTGTTGGGCCGGTTTGTCGCGTTCCCAGATCTTTTGTGAAAACATGCTTCTTTATGCATGAAATGTTGGGGGTAATGTTTGTGAAATAAACCCCTCTCATCTACCAATGGTCTGGTCCAGTTTACCAACAATTTGTGAAAACCCAACAGCAAACATATCAAAGGTCGCATCCTCTTTACATGATCTTCCGATTTTGTTTCACGAAAGGTCATGTAACATGACCTCCCGACCGGACGCAATGACCCGATGAATGAAAGTAAGCTGTACAATGTGACTTCTCTGTTGAACTTCCTGGTAAAGATAGTGTATCATGAAGCAATAAGATGAGGATGATTGGAAAGAAACTAGAATCAAGTTTTGAAAAAGGTGACTTCGTCAGAGGTGCATAATTATTGAATTTTACCAAACTATCGGGTGAGATCACGACATACTTTGGGCTTGTAATATCTTGAGTAATGAGAGAAAGAGAAAATATTTTCTGGTAATAATGAATTCTTGACTATGTCTTTGGTAATCTGAGAAATATGAATGATTGTTTTGAGAATTTGGAATTTCTTGTAATAAGAAGAGGATGTTTGTCAGGAGTATATACTGCTTGAGATCCTATAGATGGGACTGTAGATTTTATATGTTCACTATGTTACCAGCTATACGGTTATCAGTAAAGAAGAATAAACCATATTCAATCTTAAGCTTTTTGCATGAGTTCCGTAGAAGATACCAGATGCTAAATGATCTTTATTTAAACGGTAATTAAGTATGATGAATCAGATGAATATATCCTTAATTATTGAGTGAAAGTATCCACCTAGCTACCAACGAATCATGGCTACTCACATACTCCGACAGGGTTAGAATGACTGGAATCATTTTCCCCAAATCTTGAAAAAGTTCATTGCACAAGGAATTACCATTCTTCTTCTTCTTTATGAACTAGAAAAAAAGTTGAGTTTTCAAAACTTTGAGGGGTTTATAAGCATGTTCTTCCATTTTAACATTGTGGAAGGAAATCAGGAAAAAAATCATAGCAATATTTTATTTTAAAGATGAAGTTGAGTTCTGGTCGTGCGATTGCATTGTGAAAGAAACGGTGTGGAATCGACCAGAAAAGGTTGATCATCTAGCATATAAGAATTTGTGTGTATTGCAAGGTTCTGGAATCATCAAAATGATAAAAAAAATTGGCCATCTGTGTACAAACACTGTACACAGAAAGATGTATATGGGACTACATGAACACGTGGCGTAAAAAACCTACCTCCCAAGTTTTACGATTTACATGACATATTTAGAATATGAAGGCATTTGAAGAGCCATGCTTTTCAGGGAACATGTCTTATCTGATGTTCTTCCACCCTTGCATAATAACAATGATAATGCTCACAAATTATTTGTCACCTCTTCCCAGAACTCAACTTTCTCTTTAAGTGGTAATGATTTGGGAGGGATTACAATAGTTTGCCTCGATTTCGAAGACCGAGGTAAATTTTGAGTGTGTTGATACTACTTTAGGGCTTCATGAACTTTTGCAAAATCATTGCTAGTACTAATTTATAATAATTTCTACACTCTTCAGAAACATCCATATTATATGTGTATTTCATAGTATACATACTTGAAGATCTATCTATCACTATGGCTGTGTCAAAGGTCAGTTGTGACTATAGTAAGTCAATATGAACTATAGACAAGGCTTGGCCATCAGACACGTTTAGGGAAACAGTGATTTTCTGGTTTTGTTCATCACTAATTAAGTAATCATTATTTCAGATTCATTTCATTTCAATTTTCCAACAAAACTATGTAGTGTGATGTTATGTAGTCTTTCACTAGCTTTATGTAGATATGACTATTTTTTATGTAAAATGTTCCCTCACTAACAAAGTATCTTTGTTTTCTTTTAATAATGATACTAATGTACATTGTATTTTACAATTTTCTCCTGGTATACCGTATGCCAACTTAAGATGAAAAACAGAAAATTAGCTAATGAAACAAATCAAAACAGAAACTGTAATATATTTTGCAATCTATTAGAACAATTTTCACTGAGTTGCAGCGAATGTATGGTTTTGAAAATGGATTTTGATTTTCTTTCAAGTAACTTTTTTAAAAATGAATAGATTGTAGAGTTCTATAACTTCTGATAGACAATCATATACATGTATGTTATCAATAGTGTAAATTTGGCAATATTGCATGAATTAAGCAAGTTTCTTTTTAATAAATCTTACGAGGTAAGATGAGTAAAATTCAATGCATAGGAACTTTGGTTAAATTATTATTTGCGATGTCTTGTAATTTACTTAAATCAATGTTGGGATGATGAATACCATACATTGTTTGATTATAGTTTAAGATAAATTAAGTTGACTGGTATCATTTAGGTAAACTATGAGTTTTATTCTTCCTAGATATGTATAGTGTGCATTAAAATCTCTTCCAGACAGTTTTAATCTAATGAAGTTTCTGTTGTCATGGTTACTTTGTATTTATTGTATGCTTTGGATGTCTCTCTAATCTTGGTACATGTTAGCTAGAGCACATGTCATCTTTTCAGCCAAGTCTTTCATTATTATTTGAAGTATGATTTTTTTTTCCATACACACAAGTGAAAAAGTTTACCAAATTGCCATGGGAAAATAATAATCTCAATAGTCCATAATCTTGGAACATAATCTATTGAGTATGACAAACAAGCTATGATGTAGCTGACATTGTAGTGGTGTTGGCAAGGGTGATTGATAGTGGGATAAGCAGTAATGATGGTAATGTCAAAAGTATTTTGATGATGATGATGAGAGGAGGAGGATGATGATGATGAGGATAAGGTCAAGGATGATAAGGATGATGAGGAGGATAATGATGAATATGATGAGGATGAGGAGGAGGATGATAATGATGAGGATGATAAGGATGTGGAGGA